GTCTTTCTAGGAAACTGTTTCCTTTCAACAGAAATGTAATATGTGATCATTTGTAATACAAAACGTAAACCTACAGAAACTTGTGCAGGTTGAAAAAGCACTAACCAAACACTCTTACATACTGTTTGCAGACTAATGATAGCGTGCAGCACTAAGAGTAAAAAGAAAAACCCCAAAAAACGAAGTACTCAAAAGGATACTGTCATTTGCTTTTGGTGCCAGGTTACTGGTTGAAGTTCTTTAAATTTTAAATAGTTTTGCCTAAAATCCATAAGATCTCTAGTTTGAGCAGGAGGAGACACAAATCCCTTTGAGGTTGTGTTAGGAAGGACATCCGATTATATGGGTAAACAGGATTTTCTTCTGGATAAATCTGTAATTGGGCTTGCGTGGCGTCATGGAGTTATGTAAAATAGTGTTGTGGAATATAGCGGGTTTTCATAATGTTATTAAAAGGAAGAAAATCCTCACACACTTGAAGCAGAAAAAGACAGACATAGCCCTGATTCAGGAGACCCATCTCGATGAGGTGGAATCATTAAAGCTTAAAAGAGATTGGGTGGCTCACGTCTATTTTAGTGCATTTTCTGCTAGAAAAAGAAAGCTGAAAGAAGTTTATTTTTTCTTTCATTTATCTTTGCCAAGTTTTGTTCCTCCATCATGGGTTAATATTGCCCAAACTGTGGGCACAAGGAACAATGCACACAATTAAGCATCTAATATGTAGTGACTGCCCTGCAGTAGTATTCTTAAAATAAAGGAGTCGAAGATGTTGTTATTGTAAATGAAATGAAGGGAAATATGGGAAATACTCACTGTATATTTCTATACAGCAATATTTGTTTACATCTATGCAAGATAAAGGGATGAAATTGACCATCCACTACCTGAATAACAAATCACACACATTTTTATCTATCTGTCAGCAGCGTGCACCTGACAATAACATGCATGCTTTTTGATATGGAAGGTAACTTTGTATTGTGGATGAAGGCACCTTGCTTTAAAACCCAGCACATGTATATATTTATTTATCTGAAATTAAACTTATGATATTGTTCCTAATTACAGCAAACCTGACTTCAGTCCATCAAATGATGCAATGTAACATTTATACGGTAAACATCACCATTTGGGGATGTCTAAAACGTAAACAGTATATGCCAACATATTTAATACAAATGTATTTTTCATTTTACTAGTGATGGGATTATTATGTAACTAGATTATTTTGAATAAAATTGCTTTGAAGTATGTATAGGTGTGTATATATCTACATTCATGCACCACCTTTTGTATGGTGTTATGGTGTTAAGGGTGCATAAATGCTACAAATGGATCATTTCAGCCAGTTGGTATTTTATTGGTGTAGGAGGAAACATTATATGCTGCTTAACTGTGTTTGAGTACCTGGTTTCAAAAAACAGACAGAGATGTTGTGCATTAGAAAAAAAATACATACTTGTCTGCATTAATGGTAATACAACAGACAATAGTGAAATGTGATCACCAAATGTGTTACTAGGGTGTAGCCTTAAAACCAGCAGTTAATTTGTTGAATGTCTGGGAATGCACTAACTGTGCTTGAGATCCTGTTTAACTTAGAATAGGATGACGACCTGGAGCTTCAGGATCTACAGTATTGGATTTTTTCCACAGTGTCCTGACTGGACTGACTGAGTATCAGGGAGATACTGATATGATTAGCACTGCAACTACAAATATGTTTGGTTAGTAGTCTGTAAAGAAAGACTGACGAACTTGGCCAGGATTTACCCCCAGCGCCTTATAATCTGTGCCAAATGACTTATGTCATCATGACCTTTTGGGAAATACTAAATCAAATGCTTTAATGACATAAAAGGAATAAACTGAAAGGTTCAGAAAAAAACAACATTTTTACTGTTTAATATCTGGACTACACTTAATTTATGGCTGAGATGTTAGAGCTAACCTCACAAAGCAGTCACCATGTTTACACATGTATTTGAGACGTTAACCTTTTACTACTAAAACTATCTAGTCAAAATTATAATGCCACATTTTTATTCACTTGTCTTGATTAGTCTTTGCTCCTTGATATGTGTTTTAAACACTCATTCCAGTACTTGATGTCCTCTATCAGTTTTCACATATACTTCTTGTGCAGTTTCTGACCCTGGCCCACAGAGCAGTTAAAACACAGAATACCAGAATATTATTTCCATTTAGCATAAAGACTTAATGAACGCTCACTAATTATGATACTTAACAGTTTTACGGAGAGTTATGTGCTCAATTGTGTCTTGTCTAGGGACAGAAATGCAAATGCATTTTTTTTTGTCTCTGGCCCCTGGGATCTTTTGCTTGCTAGGTAAACATTCACACCACTAGCCTATGGAGCTATAAATAAATAAAAAAAACTAATAATTTAATGATCATGGAGTGTACTACACCTCTGCCGAACCCTAATTCCCTCCTGGACTTGTTCCCCACATCTTTTGGACTGGGTGAACTCTCTGTTGCCCAGTCTAACTTCACACAGAAGATCATTTTCTTCAGACTCCAGCATTAAAAAAAGATCAGTGTTATCTGTTGGATGTTTGATTTGTTGTCTCTGTCCATCCAAAATAATCAGACTTCTCTACAAAACACACCCAGTGAAATAATGAAAATTAAATTTTATGGGTGTCATAGATTGATCCATCAGTGAGTCTGTCGTGTAAAAGGATGTATGGCAGTTGTGGAATTAAAAGAAAATATATCGTTGCTAACATGGCTTGCATTTAGCATTTATTTTATTGTGTTTAATAAAATCATCGTTTGACTGAACTCATCTGGGCCAGTGTTGGTTCGTTCTTATCCTCAATATTAAAGAATCAGGACACAGTGTATTGTAGAATGAAAAAGAAACTTAGAGATCATGCTGTAACAGACACAAGCAAGCTCCCCTCAGAGAGACAGAGATGCAGGAACGGGGAGTTTTTTAAAAGAGCTGAGCACACCGGACTGAAAACGCTCCACTTTAAACCATCATCAGTATCAACTTTCTTAATGCTTTTATTGTGTTTGTTAATGTTCAGTGAGGTTACAGAAATGTGGCGTTTGAAACCAACTGCTACTTAAAAAATGTTGCTCCCTTCTGTAGGTCTAGCTTGATGCTGATACCTGCACTTGCTCTGGTGCCACTTTAGCCTTATAGTATAAAAGCTATAAAGGATGCTGTTTTGAACATTCAAGCAGGAGAAAGTAAAAATATTTGTGTAAAAATGTAGGGAGTAAAAGCCAATGAAGGTAATACTGGACTTTATAGACTCATCTTTTCAGCCCTGCTGGCATTGTTGTGGATATTAATGCTAGTCTGTCAGTCCGTTAATAAAGTGCTTCGGATTGTAATTTTGTCATGACTTGGCTGTTCCAGCCATTCCTCTCTTGCTTCCTGGCAGTGTGTGACAAGAGTCATCATTTCCTCAAATCCTGCTGGGAATTTAAGGACCAGGCTGTTACATCAGCCTACATTATTGTACCTAGTTATGCAATCAGTCCTCTCTTTATCCTGCTTCTCTGTGGATTCCTGTTAAGAAGAATAAACTCTTACTTGACTTAACTTACCTGCCCAACTACTCTTGATAGCACACACTAGAAGAACTTACCTCTACACTAACAGTAAACACCACCTGGTCAGTATGAATGCTGCATGCATCAGAGCTTAACACCCATGAATCACCTTTTTTCCAGAAATGATGACAAACCAAGCAATGGCTCAATGGCTTCAGTTTACTGGAGCTGAGGTTTGAAAGGATTTTATGTTGGATTTATCAGTCTTAACAAAGCTGTTTTATTTAATTTAAATGTTAACTGTAACCTGAAAATTGACAGCTATAGAAAAAAAAAAGAATACTAAATGTGTCGGAATAAAAAGTTTCAAAGAACAAGAATTTACAAGAATTGCCTAAAACACTAGAATGTTTGCCGTTGTGACCAGATGGTTTTCTCAGAGCTATAACAGGAAACTGCTCAGAAACCCAAGAGCTGAACAAGGAAACCACAGTTTTCAGCTGTTTCTCTTTTCCTGTAATGTTAGATCAGTCAATTTTCTTCTGTTGTCGATCTGCAGGGCCCACAACCCCTGTACAGGAAATTTGTTTTGATTATTAAAAAGTCTGAGTCTTCTGTGCTCAACCATTACAACATTTAACATGATTTCTCTTGTTCAAAAGTATAACAGGGATCAGAGACATAGTTCTTATCTCCTTGGTCCGAGACAAGAATATAAAAGGCTAATGATGGATCACATTTACATACACAAAATCTTGTGTATGTAAATATCCCACTACTCGGGATGAGCAGTTTTAAAGTCTGTCGATGAGACAATGGTTATACTTACACAAAGAGGCCTGTGGATTATCATAATTTTGGAGGAAGTAATCAAATATTTGCAATTCTGCTAAACCTTTCCTGCTGGTTGTGGTTGGAAAGAGGAACATGGGTCCATTATAATACAATAATATAGGCTTATGACTGAAGGAAAATAAATTTGGTCAACATCCTCTAGGAAGCATAAATGTGTGCAGTATATTTTGTTGCATTCTGTATGTTTAATTTGCTGGTAACCAAGAGAAACAGCCACACTACTCTGGGGTAACCAAAATGTATTAAGTTCATCCAACGGTGACGGTCCTTATTAAAAGAAATGCATTACAAGGCATTTTTTGAACACTATTTGAACCAGTGATTATTCATTTAGACAGCTGGAATGAGCAATATGCTAATTCTCGTGTAATGTGCATCATAGGTCCTTATGGCGAAAAGTGAATTCTAACGAGAAGTTGCACAAGTTCTGACATCAGTATTTCAGTATTAAAAGTTGTATGGGTTTGTATGTGTGGGGTGACAACAGCCTGGTGACAAACAGTTGATGAGTTTTCTGAAAATCAGGAAATCCTTTTAAACTTCCTGTCTCACACAGACAGACACGCAGCGCAAAAGTCAGAAAAGTAACTCTGTGTTTGTGGCTACAAAGTAACAAAATGAGGACTTCTGATGGTCGCATGTGACGATACACGACCCGACGAGTGATTGCACATATTCCTGTAAGTATAAAAGATATTTTTACATACTTCCTACTAAGAAACATCCACTTCCACTGTATATTGACAAGTATTATGTCACATTATGAAGAATGTGTTTGATCTATGGATTAATCTCTGTCTTTAGCTCTTTATAAATGGCTATTCAAAGAAGCTTTTACAGCATGTCCATATTGTGGGATATTTTTCTATAACAGTGACTCCTTCTTAAGTTGTTATGGTGATCTTTAAAAAAAAACATTCCTAAAATTGATCCTAATATACAGTATTTGAAAGACATTCATGAAAAAGTCAAATAAATGTACTTATTACATCGAAACATAAGTCACATGTTCTCACGTAGTGTTAATTTGGGCTACGGCAAAGCGTGGTAACCAGTTTCACTTGAGGGCGGGAATCCCCGCAAAACTACAATTGACTTTTCAAAAGCTTTCTGAATGCTTTTATATGGATGTGAATACTGAATATGGGGTCTGTCCAGGTTTACATCATATTCGGTATATGATGTTTATCTAGAATGCAGGGTTATGCATATTACTGTATAGCATATGACTTCATCCTATACAAGCAGGAGCCTGCATTAAGGTTTACAAACACAAATTGACATTTAAGGACTTACCTTTAATTAATTTGAGTGCTACTGAAAGGAATAGTTTTCCTGTTAATATTTGGTAAATGTTTCCTGTGAGCTCTCTGTCACAGATCAGTATTTGATCTCTTTTAGCAAAAGTATTAAGCAAAAATTTAAATATGATCAAAAATATTAATTATATTAAAGAGCTTGGTGGAAAAACATACAAAATAATGTTGGTTATTATCAATAATGTAAATCTATGACATAAACCTTACATGATGGTGGTCTAATTTATCTGTGCATATATAATCACGCAATATATTTGCATGTGGACAATATTTTTTCAGCTCCAAGATTATGTTATTTTCTCTTTTTATTTTATTATTCTCTTTTTCATCCTTGCAATTATTTCCCATACAGACATTTCTTGCAGCCCAGAGCAATATTTAAGTTTATTCCCAGCATTTTACAAAACATTAAACATTTTTTGTTATTTTTAAGAAACACCAAAATAACAGGTTCTTGATCCTAACAGAATAGTACACTGTAATTTTATCAAGCATTGTTTACGTAGACCACCAGAGAGTTCACTGCTACAGTAAACTGCAGAGATGGGCAGCGTTACTTGTAACGCAGTAACGTGTTACTGTAATCCGATTACTTTTTTCAAGTAACGAGTAAAGTAAGGGATTACTATTGCAAAAACGGTAATTAGATTACCGTTACTTTCCCGTAGGAAC